GCAAGTTGGTCTGATGCTGGTCTAAAACTGTTTCCCATGAGAGATTAATAAAACCAAGAAAAACCCCAGTTAGTAATTAAGTCTATTCTTTCTTTCTGTCCGCCTTGTAAATACTTAGCTTTAGACATAATTAAGAAGTAAGTCTTAGGCTGAAAATTTCCATGCAGTTTCTGTTTGAACAGGTAGCTAGTCCTGTTAAGCAATAGAGGTTTTTTTTTTTGTAGTGTTGATGCAAGGAAATAAAAGAAAACCTTTTTGTATTTCCAGATAGTTTGGTTAGAGAATGAGTTTTCCTTTTTTGACTGAACTAAGTTCCTTGTTCTTCAGCCTTCTCATAACACCTGTGTTAGTGTAAAATGGCTTGGAATTAGTAGTAAGTTGTTTTGGTTTTTTAAATAAAAAATCAGTATCATAGTTTGAAATGATGATATATTAGTGTTAGATGTTGTGACAGAAGATTATCATTAGAAGTGTTAGACCACACCTTTGTTTGTTTGTTTGTTTTGTACAGGAAAAGCAAGGACACAGTCTGCACCCAGAAGTGTGTGGTATTTTGATCTTGGCATAAACATGTTCTCTTTTGGATCTTTGACTGCAGTGACTTAAGTGATAAAAAGAAAAATACCAATTTTATCTCTTTATTTGAAAATATTTTTTATGCTGAAATTGAGCACTTAACCTGTAGCTCTTACTGTATGATGTGTGTTTTGCCTCAGGTTCCCCATCACTGTTACTGTTGGTTCAAATCCTTTAAATTTTTCTTTCTTCTTGTTTCTTGTAGTTTCTTTTCTTTCTCTACACATCTCTTCTACCTGCAGGTTTGTTTTGTAGTCTTGCATTTATAGTAAAGTTGGTTGAATATTGACTTTAACATTTTTACTCTTGTCAGATGTTACTGTTGATATGCAGTTGGATCGTATTAGTCTGCTTTTGTCCAAATCAGGCCAATTTATTGAGAGAAGTAGGGTTTATCAAATAGTTCTTACTTTGCTGGTCCTGCTCATAAGCCTAATGGGAATTCATTCCCAGACTCCTAGCTTTGTTGAGAGCTAGTTGGCAAGATAAGGAGTCTGTGTTTTGTCTGAATATTGACTATTGTATGATCCATATTTGTTGACAGGTTGGTATTACTTAACAGAGACCTTAGGTGATAGCTAGCTGATCTCTTCATAAAGAAAAAGATTTGGAATTAGTTGGGGTTTTTGCATCCAACCGCAGAGCAACTAGCACTATCTACTAGACTTTTTTTTTTTTTTTCCTATCTCAGTGCCTTTGTTTTTGAACTTACCACTAAATTCCTGTGTTGACTAACATCAAACCGCTTAAAATTTCCCATCAACTCTGAATCTGGTTGACTTGATTTTTGCTTACTTATCTAAGTAAGCTGTATTTTTTTTTTTTTCCTTTCTGCCTCTCCCCGGTTTCTCCACCATTCTCTCTTGTAGCTGGTTTACATGTTTCTCATAATGTTGGCAATTTGTTTGACCAAGATGGCTTATTCCAGTGTCAGTTTCTCCATGCTGTCCTAGACAAGAGGTACCTTGTTTTGGTTGCCTCTGGCTCTATGGTGCAGTTGAACCTATGCTTAGCACTATATTAGTGTGTATGAAATATTTTACTGCTGTATGGAAAGCTAACTTACCATCCTTATGGCTTAGTGTTTTCCTTTTTTTTTTTTTTTTTTTAGATTTGGTAATCCACATTATTATTGCCCTCTTTGAGCAATCTTTGTCCTGCATGGAAGTATTTTGATTGCCTTCCCCTCCTCCAAGGTTATGTAGGATTTAGGCATTTTTAGTGGCTTTTTGTCACTGGGACTTGTCTAGTTGGTATTTACTTGTGTCTCAAGGTTTCTCCATGCTGAATTTTCTTCTATTTCTCTTCGTTTACAGTTAGTATTGACTTCCACAGCCCCCCTGACATTTACTCATGGCACTTTGCTATGCTGAGAAAGGCTGTTATTTTATAATGGTCTGATTTACCCAGCATTAAAGGCAAGGTAACATTTGTGTACAAGACGACTATTACAATTAAAATCTCTTTGTAAGGTTGTCAAGGAGTGCTGTTAATTTCTGGTAAACAGTTTAAACTCTGGTCATATTCTGTAGCGGCTGCCCTGCTTTATTTGGCCTGCAGTAAGCCTTTGATGACAGAAGTAGGAAGTTTGGGAGCAAACTTCTTGCTTCCCAGGTTTCGTCTTGGCATGTGCAAAGAAACCCAGCAGCAGGGTGTTTCTCTATATCTCTCCTTTCAGAACAAGGAAGCTTCACCATGGTCTGTGTCTTTCTGTTTCAAAGTGGACAGATGCAGATGGCTGATTGAGGTGCAGTCTACGTGAGTCTGTTTATGAATAGCTTCATTTCTTCTTTACTGGTACATTTTTGTTGGTGTTAGTAAAAGCAGAAAGAGGAGTGATTTTTGCATTGTTTTGTGATTTTTAAAATCATAGAAAGCTTTGGGATGGAAGGGACCTTTAAAGGTCATCTAGTCCATCCGCCCTGCAGTGGGCAGGGATATGTTCAACTAGATCAGGTTGCTCAGAGCCCCATCCAGCCTGTCCTTGAATGTTTCCAAGCATGGGGCATCTACCACCTCTCTGGGCAAACCGTTCCAGTGTTTCACCACCCTCATTGTGAGAAAGCTTTTCCTTGCATTCAGTCTAAATCTACCCTCCTTTAGTTTAAAACCATTACCCCTTGTC